GTGACCCCGGGCAAGTTTCTTAACCTCTCTGGGTCTGTTTCCTCACCCATGGAAAGAGGATAATCATCATAGTCCTGGCCTCATATTGTAATTATAAAAGGAGTTAATAATTATAAAGCCAGTAATAACAGTGTCTGGCACAGAACTGGACAACTGTGCAGGCATACCTCGCTCTTATCAGAGTGAATATAGGACAGCTGGTTGAATTTAGCTATTAAAACCTCTCAGTAGAATCCTATGGTGTTTTTTTTAGAGGGTGGGGAATTAGAGCAAGGACCTAAAGTTGGCTCCTTTTTGCAGCATGGCCTCTAGGTGGGGTTGATGTCTGGGTGTAGGACCCAAGAGATCCAGGACAGAAGGAAGGTCAGTGCTCCCCACCCCAGACAAGCAGGTGAGCAGATGCAGCAACCAGAATGTTCTCACCTAGAGCTAGTAAACAGGAAGCCTACATCCAAACAAGCCCATCTTCTCTGCACTGTGGTCATTTCTCTTCAAACCTAGTGCACCTCCCCAGGTGAGGCCTGAACTCTCATGATGACCTTGACATCACCTCAGATTCCCTCCTGACTTGGTTAGTGCAATGTCAACTTAGTTGCAAAGATGGGCACTTACTGTTTCATATTCTCTTTTCATTGCTACATAGTTCCCCACAGGATCCCAGGGACCTGGGATGGTCTATGTACTTGGCAATTCTCAGGGTCTACAAGAGTCTTATTTCTTCTTAATTTTCTACTATTTGAGCCTACTGTTGGGCATAAGGTTTAAATTCTGTATGTGGTGCTACTACAAATAACTGTACAATTTTCAAAGTATTTTTTCTTATTCATTCATATTCTAGTAAATATTGGTTGGGTTCCTACCATGTGCCAGGAACTGTGCCAGGCTTGGTGTCAAGCTGTGAAGAGGCCAATCCCTGCTGTCAAGGAGCTTACAGCCTTCCACGGGAGACTGACAAGAAGACAGGCAGTGATGTGGTAAGTGCAGTAAGGGTAGTAGGCTGAGATAGGAGGTGCTCAGTTTCCCTGGGTTCAGGTTTCAGGACACACTCTGGGTTTCAACCCACTCCCAAGGTCTCAGGCCCCTCTCCAAGGCCCACCCCTAGAGGAGAGTTACTGTTGCTTGTTGGACCTATTATTGGCACCAACTTGAGGAGATTGAGACCACAGGGACAGACTTAAGCAAATCCAGTAGCTGAGCATGCTCAGTAAAAAGAATTTATACCAGCTTATATGACCCCAGTGACCTAACATTAGAAGTGAGTTTATCCTTTGAATGACCTTCCACTAGGGGTGCTAAAGAGCTCAGAATATTCTTGAATATGTATGTGATAAGATTTGACCAATGAACATGCTTCAAAAAGAGACCAACTGAGCATGTGCAAGGCTGTTACATAACAGGGAACTATCCCTTTAATTGAATATTCATTAGATATCATGAATATGTATTAGATAGCAAAACTATAAAAGCTGAATCTCGGCAGAATGTGGGGCAATTGTTCACTCTCTCAGGGGCCAGTCTTCACTCTGCCTGTTCAGTGTGTTATTTATTTCTTTTTATATCAAACTGACTTTCAGCAAGCGGCTGCTCACTCTCTTGAGCCACCGTGCACTCTGCACTGAACTTTATGTATTTCTTACTTTTGTACTAAACTTGGTGTGCACCCTGCTCAGTCTCTGGAGCTATGCTGCACTTTCTCTCTGAGGTCTGTGTCTTTTATTCATTACATTAAACCTGCTCTCCCTTTCTACTGTGACTCTGATCTTGAATTCTTTCCTGGGGTGGAGTCAAGAACCTGGTAAGAGGATGGGGGGATTGAGGCTGACTGTTGGGCCTTCCAGACCTTCTCCTCCAGCATCAAGACTGCAGTGGGAACACTAACCCAGCCCAGAGCTAACTGCTTTGTAGCCCTAAAGACATACTGCCAGGCTGCTTAGTGGTGTGAATGCTGAGCAAGATTGTCTTTCATTCAATCATTTCAGAGAGTACACTTTTTACTTTTAGATGTTGTTTGACTCCTTTTCAAGTACACCTGCTCTTTTTTCACAATGTCCTATCTTTTTTCTATTATTCCCTATTCTTTATCTTTGCCTTCATTTGAAAACTATTTTTTCACCTTAAAGATTTTTTTTTCAGATTGCTCTATTTCTCAAGTGCCTGGGAGTATTACTTTTCCTGTTTTGGACATTCACTCTCATGATGGAATGTGTCTTTGAGTGGTTTGTAACTTTTCAACTGTGAGAATTTTTTTTGTTCCTCTTTGTGTCCCTGTGAGCCCGGGGTTATAGAAATATAGCTACAGTGCAGTTTTACATTTGTTTCTGCTTGGAACCCTAGGAGTCTGGTTTAAGTGATCTATTTTTACTTTAATTTCTTTTCTTGGGGAAATATCACTTAGAAACAATTTACAGAACATTTACTACATGTATATCCCTATACCGTGATGCTGTGGAAGAAACAAAATAATGTGGTATATAAAACAATGTAGCTGCTTTATGTGGAAACACAGTTTGAAAGGGCCAAATACACACAAAAAGTTAGGTGACCATGTATGGCAGAGTAATAGGCCTAATGGTGGACAGTAAGTTCAGAAGGAAAAACAGACAGCTGGAGAAAAATGGGGAAGAAAAGCCCAAAGTAAAAAGGTTTGTATGAGGAAGTTTCAGAAGGAAGGTGAGGTAAACCTGTCCCCCTTCCCCACACCACTCCCAGCAAGTTGGAAACCTAGAACCTCTTCTGAGTGGAGAGTTAGTGTGGTGCCATGACCTTGACTTTAAGGTTCCTACTGTACTGAGAAGGCTAATTCAGAATCCAGGCTAACGGAAATCACTGAAAGCGCTCCTGGGGGAGGGTAGGAGGTTTGATGAAAGTTGTGTTTGAAGGAGAAAACACAGTAGGTTAAAAGTGCTAGGAGGCTTTGCAATGATTGACCTGGGCAAGCCTGGGTTAAGAAGGCCAAGGCAGGGGAGGGAGGACGGAGCCCTCAGAGCCCTCGAAGGAGTGAGAGAGATTGGCATGTTCTGAATGTGGAACGTGTATAGAGTGTTTGTTGTCAGGAGTGGCAAGGAGGGAGGTAGTTTTTAGGCGGTAAGGCAGGTAGGAAGTCAGAAAGAAAAGTGATCAGAAGGCAAATGTCTATTCTAAAGAACTTCCTCAAAATGAGTACAGGAAAAGGGACCAGGTTTCCCCACTGCCTGTCCCTGCAGACTAGGATCCATTTAAATAGAAACTTTTTAGTGAGCACCCCCACAACTAGCAGGGCACTGTTTTAGGTGTGGTTGCAGCGTTTGGGACACGTTCCCAAACAAATAGGGCACTTGCTGTATTATCTTCCTCGCAGGGTTGTTGTGAGCATTATACCTGAGTTAACACGTGGAAAGCACTTTAAAAAGTGCCTGGCACATACTAAATGCGATTTAAGGGCTAATTATTTTTATTTGCTTTTAGTACCTAAGGATTAACTGTGGGCGCGTGCTCACATTGAAAGACTTACTAAAACTCTCACGATGTAGTAAGGGAGATACTCAAATACTTTAGAGCAAAACAAATTTTATAACCATGGGCTACATGGGAGGTGCGCGAAGGTCCACCAGCTGGGGAGAGTGACCATAGCTGCGAGGGGGCGTCTGGACTTGGTCTGGTGAGGGCATTCCTGGCAGAGGGGGCAGTAAAGAGCAGAGACAAGGCGGCTGGCGGCCGCGGAGGGGCTCGCCTACAGCAGGAGGCCGGCTCGCGCAGTCTCTCGCAGGCCGCGATGCCTGCGGTCAGGGCCGCAAAGGGGCGGGCCCAGAACTGCGGAGGAAACTCCCGAAGCCGGGGAGGGGGCTTGGAAGCGCCTCAGACCATATTGGGGGCCCCTAGCTGCCAGATCCCCCGCGCCCCGCCCTTGCCGCTCTCCGGGGCTCCAGGGGGAGCGCCCAGGCCTGAGGCGGCCTCCACAACTCCCAAGCCCGCAGCTCGGGTTGCCCGCGACCACTAACCCCTGGGCGATAGCCCAGCGTTCGGCCAGACCCCAACCCGGCCGGGGCCACACTTCCGGCGCCTAACGCCCGCAGCGGCGCGCTCCCG